ATATAACTCTAAGTACTACACAAAAGCCATATATTTGCAGTTCTGTGAAACAACTAATTTTTTTTAGGATTTCTGAAACCCTATTAGGATGGAGGCACACAGATTTCTAGGGGAATGCTATTCCAGAGATAGTTGCTGGGACAGAGAATCTCATTTTCTGTGCCCTAAATCATATTGTCTAACAGATGAAACCCACAGTGTTCCAATTCTGCATCATCTTCGAGGCAGAAATACTTTTGACATTATTTCTCTGTTGATCTGTGGTGGGTTCTGGATACCATTCCAACTGGTACGGTTGGAATGGCCCCGGTGTCACCCACATACATACGTGCCAGGTGCATGCATGCGTTATAGGTTCAAATGATACTTTGGCAAGCCTCCGTGACACTCCAGCTGCTCAGCGGAGTGTTGAACAGGTGCTCTATGGCCATGCACGTACGCAGAAGCGCTGACAGCTTTAAACCACGCTAAGGAGCATGGGCGGGCGGGTGGGCGCTCTGGAGCACCGAACCGGAACGGTACCTGGTGCTCCGGGGCATACCGCCTTCAACCCACACTACTGTTGATACACTCTAAGATTGCAGTGGCTATTTTGGCAGTGGTGGCCCATTTCTGAATCATACTTAATTTGTGGTCTACCATTAACAAAAATCCTCACAAGTGTTACTGCTGAGCCAGCTACCACCTATCATGTATCTTCACATCTGACTTTTCTTACCCTATCCTACTTTTCTCACTATTCAACAACATTCATTGTTTTGCATCTGGCCCAAGGTTAAAGTCTATCAGGTTCTCTTTTGAACACTGAGTTTGTCTTCTGAAATGCTAGCAATTTGCACACACCCCTCCCCGGCTTGGTTTTCTATTGCTTGCAAATTTGCAAAACATCCCTTCGTCTAAGTCTAAGACGTTTATAAAAATGTTGAAGACAACTGCATACCTCTCTTCATTAGGACACAAATCCATTAAGGACTGTGTGTTAGGTGCAATTGTTTAACCAACTGCAAATCAATCTGCATCCATACAGCATCATTCCAACTTTATCACTGCCTTACTGAAGTCTGCCTACTTCATTCTTTCGCTCTACTAATCTAAGAACTTTGCCAAAAAGCAATAAGATTTGTCTTATTATCCAGTATTAGTTATTTTTTAGCAAACTGTGTGGTAAGTTCTTGGATCCTCAAACATTTCCTACCTATTAATAAGAATTAAAACCAGTATAAATAGTTCCCTAGATCTTTCTTCCACATTTTGGACAATTACATTGTCTGCAAGACACATCAAGAAACTTCTGGCTTTCCACCTGCCAGAGAGTCTGTTCCCAGTCAAGGTACTTGAGACCCCTCATTTCAGCAGTCATGTCTTCTGACTACCCCACAATCTGATTTTGGAGATTTCATCTATATCTTCTTCTTGGTTAGATGGCCTGCAATATGTAGCAATAGCAATAGAACTTAGACTTACATACTGTTTCATAGTGCTTTACAGTCCTTTCTAAGCAGTTTACAGAGCCAGCATATTGCCCCCAACAATCTGGGTCCTCATTTTACCTACCTCAGAAAGATGGAAGGCTATTGTAACTAGGTCTACATCTCGGCCAAAATTAGACTGGGGTGGGGGTGGGGGGGAAGTTTAAAAGCACAATGACTATATATGTAAGTCTAAGTTCTATTGCTATTGCTACATATTGCACGCCATCTAACCAAGAAGAAGATATAGATGAAATCTCCAAAATCAGATTGTGGGGTAGTCA